ATGCTGTACGGGGCCCCATGATATCTAACAGTGGCCCTGGGTGTATGCTTGTGTCTGTGCCACCTGTATAGTTAGGAAGAACCTTGAACCTCTGCTATGTACCTCAATGGATCTAGGAATTGGACATGTTTTCAACTGAAAATACAACAATTAGTAATGTTTCCCCAGCAAATCAGGATCAGCTCCTCGGTGGAGAACAGCGATCTTGCCATGTCTAGATGTGGTCTGGAATTCCACAAAAGAACAATTCACAAAACTAAAAAATAGACTTGAAAATTACCACTAAACTCTCCTAACTACACTCCATCCACTCACACTTCCGGGTGTGTGCAATTGCCTTCCGCAAACGTCATGACGTATTTCCGGTATGACAGCTGCTCTAGCGCCTCCTCTAACAGCCCGTCTTGGCGTTTTATTTGTGCACCATAGCAATTTTACATGCGGCTCCATTGTGTATATGACATTCGCAAATATATGTTTGCAGTTCTATTGTAGATTTGGCATTGGCGAATGTATGCTTGCAGCTATACTGTGTGTATATGACATTGGCGAATATATATTTGCCAGTAAAGGGGGCGGGGGGGGATGGGAGGGGCCCAAAGTCAACATAAATTGGGGGCCCAATTTATTACGGTTAAGAGGATTGTAGAAAAAGAATAGCTAGCTGCACATTGAACACGACCTATTCATTGGTACATAAAACATGGTCTTGTCGTGCAATAGGTGGCTTTTGGTTTGTTATTTTGGACATACTTGCACATGTGCGCTCTAACAAGGAAGATTTGGGCATATTATATAGCTAGCAAAAATAAGTGTTAGGGGTGCTAGTACATTTCAGATACTTATATAGCGCTCTTAATTTACACAGCGCTTTCCATATAGATGTGGTAAATTCACATCAGTCTCTAACCCTCAAGGGGCGTACTAAGAGCCCTAACTTACATTCATACATATATACTAGGGCCAATTTTGACAGGATCCAATTAACCTACCAGCATGTCTTTAGAGTGTGGGAGGAAACCGGAGTACCCAGAGAAAACAGGCACAGGGAGAACATGTAAAATGCAGGAGGTGCCATGGCTGGGATTTGAACCAACGACCCTAGTACTGCCAGGTGGAAGTGCTAACCATTTAGCCACTGTGCAACATACAACTAGAACATGAAATAATCCCCCCAAAAAATACATAGTACAAATGTTTATTTATTTGGACAGCAACAAAAAGCTATATTCAATATCTTGGTGTGAAAAAAAAAAATAAAAGCAGGGATTGATGTTGCTAAAATAGAACGGTCCTGCTCATAAGAGCTTACAATCTAAAAGATTATACTTATAATGAACTGTGCTTTCACAGGTTACAGCAGGAAACAAATGGTTAATATCACTTGGGCTTATTCACAAAACAAGCTGCAGATCGAAATATCAATATAAAAATACATACATGCCAAAATATAAAACACCTCCCCCACACATACATTTCTCACCATGTTTGTCTGAAAACTGCATTTCATTCTAAATAAAGCAAACTTGGAAGAGCAGAGCAATGGACACGTGTTAGGATTACAATGCAAAGATATTAAACACAATCATTGTACAATAACGCACAAACACACCTTAGAAGGAAGAACATGCAAAACATTTACAGCCCACATCAAAACACAGCGTGAGTGTGGCCTGGGGCAATTCACCACAATATCTCTTCTTCCCCAAACCACCACAGACAAGGACATGCAAAAATAATGTGCCTATACCAGGCAAAAATCACCCACTACTGCATCTCTATATATAAGGTAGGCCACACCCACCACTGTCATTCATTTGGTCAGAGAAAGTGTTTGCACCTGATCAATTATCTTCCCACCTGTGTTAACCCTTGGTATACAGGCCCCACAAATCAGAGTAAGAAAGAAAGCCACAGTGACGTGTACCTGTGCAGCATACAACAGAACAATGAACAGGAATGTGAAAGGGAACCCTATTGACAATATTTCTTGGCCCTATGGGCACAATTCACTCCAGATTATCGCATGAGTTAAGGCAGTCACATGGCCACATCTCGCAAGCAATACTGAAAATGTCAATTCAATTTTGCTAGTATGCGGCATTTCCCATAAATCGGAAAAAACACTCAGGAAATCAAACATAAAAAGGCCTTACACCGCAGTCACATCAAAGCCGATTTAGAAATTGTGCGACGTACAGTGAAGATGCTGATTTCCTTACGATTTGCAAGACATCTGACACAGATATCTATGCAAATCGTCATAAAAGTAGTACATGTACTACTTTAGAAATCAGTGTTGGAATCGCACCCATGTGACTGCTCTAATAGCAGACAATAGGGTGCGACTTTGCATACAATTTGCAAGTCGCATGCCAAGTTGCATCCAGGGTGCACGATTTCAGGTGCGATTTGGGAATTGAAATTGTACCCGATATCCGATCTAATGAATGTGTGATGTGAGTGTCTTAACGTAAGCGATTTGCTGCAGCACAATTTCAAAAGTAGTTCTTGTCTAACTTTTTCAGCATTTTGTAGCAATTTCACATATAGACTACAATAGAAATCGCAATGCAAAACACAATTGAAAACGCAATAACTCATTGGTAAATCTACAGAAAACACGGTGAAATTGCCAACAAAAAGCACAATTTTAAATCACAGCTAGTGTGAACCAAGCAGGCAATTCAACAAAGGAAATAAATCTTTGAAGGCATGCAGTATCTGCATGCTCAGATAAGGGTCTATTATTGATTTGGGGGGGGGGGGGGGGGGCTCCATGTCATTATTTTTTTTTTTTTTTTTTTAATCCACTTCTTTTGCTCACTCTTCTCATGATTTGACAAACTTTCCCAAAGGATGTGGAGTGCAAACCAGCATTATTTATTTTATTTATTTATTTATTTATCGAGTTTATATAGCGCCAAAGGGTTTGCTCAGCGCTGTACAATAGAGGGGGGACAATACATGAAACAGAACAGTAACATCAAACAGTACACAAGGGGTAAGAGGGCCCTACTCTTTCGAGCTTACAATCTAGGAGGGAGGGGATAGAGGCACAGGAGGAAACGGCTGTGGGGGATGGAGTGGTAGGAGGGGGGAAGGGCAGCGGCTGTTAGGTGAGGGTGGGGTAGGCTTCCCTGAAGAGGTGGGTTTTTTCAGGGAGCGCCTGAAGGTGAGGAGGGAAGGTGACAGTCTGATGGATTGGGGTAGTGAGTTCCAGAGGATGGGGGAGGACCTGGAGAAGTCTTGCAGTCGTGTGTGGGAGGAGGAGACCAGGGAGCAAGATAGAAGGAGGTCCTGTGAAGAGCGAAGGGTACGGGTAGGGTGGTACCTGGGAATCAGGTCGGTGAGGTAGTTAGGGCAGTGTTGTGAATGGCCTTATAGGTCAGGGTGAGCAATTTGAATTTAATGTGTTGGGCAATGGGGAGCCAGTGGAGGGAGAGGCAGACGGCAGAGGGGGGTGGCAGAGGTGGAGCGGCTGGTGAGGTGGATGAGTCTGGCCGCTGAGTTCAGGATGGTCTGAAGCGGGGAGAGCCTGCACTGGAGTAGGCCGGAGAGGAGGGAGTTGCAGTAGTCAAGGCGTGAGATAATCAGGGAGTGTACGAGTAGTTTAGTGGTGTCTGGGGTAAGGAAGGAGCGTATCTTGGCGATTGTTCCGGAGGTGGAGCCTGCATGTGTTTGTAAGTGATTTGATATGAGGTTGAAATGAAAGGTTTGAGTCCAGAATGACGCCAAGGACCTTGGCTTGCTGGGCGGGATTGATGGTGGTGTTGTTGGTAGTGATGGAAAGGATGGGGGGGGGGGGGGGGGCGGGCTGGGGGGAAGACGAGAAGCTTGGTTTTGGAGAGGTTGAGCTTGAAGAAATGGAGCAACATCCAGTCAGAGATGTCGTTTAGGAGGTGAGTGATGCGGGCGGAGAATGTGGGGGTGAGGTGAGGGGTGGATAGGTAGATTTGAGTATCATCAGCGTAGAGGTGGTAATTGAAGCCGTGGGAGTGTATGAGTTTGCCAAGGGAGGAGGTGTAGATGGAGAAGAGAAGGGTCCAAGGACAGAGCCCTGGGGACCCCAACAGAGAGGGGGAGGGAAGAGGAGGTGGCATCGTTGTAGGAAACGCTGAAGGAGCGTTGGGATAGATAGGACGAGAACCAAAGAGAGAGTGGTGTCTCTGATGTCAAGGGAGAGTAGTTTATTAAGGAGGAGGGGGTGGTCGACTGTGTCAAAGGCGCGGAGAGGTCAAGGAGGAGGACGACAGAGTAGTCGCCTTTGGCTTTGGCGGTTAGTAGATCGTTGGTGATTTTGAGGAGGGCAGTTTCGGTGGAGTGTAGGGGATGGAAGCCGGACTGTAGTGGGTCAAGGAGGTTGCTGTCAGTTAGGTGGGCGCTTAGGCGATCGAAGACCAAGCGCTCAAGGAGCTTATCCAATCAATCATTAGTCCAGGCCCTTATCTCATCCCATGGTTTCACATTCACATTAGGTGCTACTTTAAAGGTGTTTGAACAGACAAGGCCTCATTCTAATTCACATTCTATGGATCATTTAAACAGAAAGCAAAGATGCTGCCACCAGCACATGTATGTTAGGGTAGTCACACGGAGATCATGCAAATTCATTGCTGTGGTTGGGATTCAAAACCAACAACCCTAGCGTTGTGAGACAGTAGTGCTAACCACTAATCCACGGAGCTGTTGAACACTAAACCTGCCTGTATTTCTGTGTTGTGAATCAATCCTAGGTCCCTGGGCAAGGTCAGTGTAACTAGCCAGATATCTCAAATGTGACACAAATGTTGTGCTATGTTGCCAATTCAGATGTATGTTGGTTCTATGTAGCCCATTACAAAGGATTGCAATACTAGTACAGGCGTACCTCAGTTTACCAACGCCTCAGTTAACGTAATTTTTGGTTTACGAATGAAAATCCATTGAAAATAATGCCTCGGTTTACACAATTGTTAATAATTTTTTTTGCAATACAAAGTGTATGTTGGCGCTGATTTTCAAATGCAAATGCCAGCCTTTTTTTTTTCCTTCACTATAGTTCACAAGCTTAGAAGTCACTTTCCCGAAGTTACAGAAAACTTTGTATCTTTTAATAAACTCAAAGTAAACATTGTTTCCTTTAGGGATATAAATTCCAAGAAAACTTTCTCTTTTAGCTGGGGGAAGTGACAGGTGAATTTCTGAGCTATAGTGAAGAAAAAAAAAAAAAAGGGAGAATTAAATTTAAAAACCAGCACCATAGTAAATAAAAAACAGCATGGGTCCCCCCTCTCATCCATACCAAGCCATTCAGGTCTGGTATGGATATTAAGGGGGAACTCGACGCCGAAATTTAAAAAAGAAAACAGCGTGGGGACCCCCTCAATATCCATACCGGACCCTTATCCGAGCATGCAGCCCGGCAGGTCAGGATGGGGAGGGACGAGCGAGCGCCCCCCCCCTCCTGAACCATACCAGGCCACATGCCCTCAACATGGGGGGGTGCTTTGGGGCAGGGGGGGCTCCCCCCCAAAGCACCTTGTCCCCATGTCGATGAGGACAAGGGCCTCTTCCCCACAACCCTGGCCGGTGGTTGTGGGGGTCTGCGGGCGGGGGGCTTATCAGAATCTGGAAGCCCCCTTTAACAAGGGGGCCCCCAGATCCCGCCCCCCCCACGTGAAGGAGTCTGCGGTACATGGTCCCGTGACTCATTCACGAAAAAAACAAAGCGTGGTGTAAAAAAAAAAAAAAAAAAAAAAAAAAAACAGTACAGGGTCTTTGACAAGTCCTTTATTAAAACAATGTCCCCCGAAGTAGATCCAACGTCAATCACGGCGGCGACCCTAAAAAAAAAAAATTTAAAAAAAGTTCCGCTCCCGCCCGAGGCTTCCAGCCTTGTGAAAAAAAGGCTAGCTGACAGTTCTTAAATAGGTATGGGGCGGGGCCAGCCGGGGACATCATCTGAGTGACCCCGCCCCGTGTCACATGCTTGCTGTTCCCGGCTGGCCCCGCCCCATACCTATATAAGAAATGTCAGCTAGCCTTTTTTTCACAAGGCTGTAAGCCTCCGAACTTTTTTTTTTTTCTTTTTTCGGGTCGCCCCCGCCGCCGTGATTGACGTTGGATCTACTTCGGGGGACATTATTTTAATAAAGGACTTGTCAAAGACCCTGTACTGTATTTTTTTTACACTACACTTTGTTTTTTGTGAAGGAGTAGCGGGACCATGTACCGCAGACTCCTTCACGTGGGGGGGGGCGGGATCTGGGGGCCCCCTTCTTAAAGGGGGCTTCCAGATTCTGATAAGCCCCCCGCCCGCAGACCCCCACAACCACCGGCCAGGGTTGTGGGGAAGAGGCCCTTGTCCTCATCAGCATGGGGACAAGGTGCTTTGGGGGGGGTGGGAGCCCCCCCTGCCCCAAAGCACCCCCCCATGTTGAGGGCATGTGGCCTGGTATGGTTCAGGAGGGGGGGGGCACTCGTTCGTCCCCCCCTTTCCTGACCTGCCGGGCTGCATGCTCGGATAAGGGTCTGGTATGGATATTGAGGGGGTCCCCACGCTGTTTTTTTTTTTAAATTTCGGCATGGAGTTCCCCCTTAATATCCATACCAGACCTGAAGGGCTTGGTATGGATGAGAGGGGAGACCCACGCTGGTTTTTTTTTGTTTTTTTTTTTATTGCGGACCTTTATTTTTACATTCAGCTGTCAAAATAAATATTATCTAGACCTTCAAAATAAGTAAAATCATTACGGAAATAATTATAAAGGATAAGAAACAAAAATAGAATCACTAGAACTAAGGAAATCAAATTAGAATACATAAAGATATGCTTAGTGCTGTTTATTAAAACACAGTAGACGCGACCGAGTGCCAGCTGTCAGTGGAATCCACACTGAGATTTACTATTGGGCAGTGGCTAAAAAGCAAGCGCCTGCAGAGGACGCCTAAAATGTGTTCTGCACATGCTCAGTTATATCGGCCAAAGACACTGCACGGGCGTCTAGATTTTTACTGTGTCAATTTCCTTTAAAAAAAAAAACTATTTTTAACACATTCTTAATTTTTTTTGAAATGGCAGATATTGTTTAAAGTGAAGTCCTGGTATTTGGCAAAGCAAATTTCAAAGTGAACATGTCTCTGCAGTGATTTTTCATGGTGTGTTAGACGTGCTTCTTAGCAAGTCTGCTTTGTGAGTCTGATTCCGGGCGTGTGTCTTGTTAGTAAATTCGATTGGGCGTCTACTTATGGGCGCTGCTCAATAGTAAATCTCGTTGCGGGGTAAAAGTAGATGGTCGCTCATAAAAATTGGACGTTCGCCCACGAATATGCGCCCACGCCCAATAGTAAATCAGGGCCATAGTATCTAGTTCAAAAATCTAGAATGTTTCGTTCTGAGAAACTTCCCTGATTTTATTGCTGCCCATTTAGTGCTCCTCAACCCTATCAATCCCACAGAACATTAGTTCCGATGGATCACATTTGTGGAAATCTTGGAAGTGCCTAGACAGACTATGGTCTTTCTTCCCTTTCTTAATATTAGAGACATGTTCTCTCAGCCTCTTAAACAATGGACTATTTGTCTGCCCTACGTACTGGAACTTGCATGAACATTCCAGTAGACATGTAATGTAGGGGGTAGTGCATGTTATAAATTGGTCAATTTTGTATTCCTTCTTAGGCACCTGTGATCTAAAACTTTCTATTTTCCTAGTCTTTATCCCAGTAGTTTTGCATATATTGCATTTCTTACATGGGAAGAAGCCTATTAAATTAAACATATTGTTCTCGCTAATCTTTGGTGTTTTTTAACCAATTTGCTCCATAAATTCTTGAATCTTCTATAAATAAAGGGTGGTTTATTCAGCACCAATGGGATTAAAACCCTGTCTCTTTTCACTAAAGGCCAATACTTTTTTACAATCATCTCTATGTCCTTATACTGACAGCTGAAATTAGAGACAAAAGCGAATTCAAATCGCTCTTCCCTTTTTGATATAGTCTTACATGCCCACTTTCCCTCTCCCACATATATTTTACTAATCTCAAATCTTAGTTTTTCCAATCTAATAGGATCATAGCCTTTTTGGATAAATCTCTGTTTAATCACTTCTGATTGTGCGATGTAATCGGTAAGCTTTGAATAATTCCTTTGAATATGTCGGAATTGTCCTTTCGGCACTCCCTGGATCCACTGTGGGTGATGGCAACAGGATATGGGAATATACCCATTCCGATCTGTAACCTTAAAATAAGTCTTGGTATACAATCTACTCTTATCTCAGAAAAAATACATAAATCTAAAAAATTTACTGATTCAGTATCAGTCGTGTGAGAAAATTCCAACCCATACGGATTAATCTCTAGATGTCTCAGAAATATCTGTAATGACTCCATAGTAACCAATCAGCTTCTAACTTTAGATTGTTCAGTTAAGCTTTAACAATAAGGCTCAGTTCACACATGGGTGTTCACAGTTCACCGATGGGTGCGTAATTGCAGCGATTCCATTCCGAATGGCACCTCCATGCATGTAAAAATGCAGTGTGTTTGTGGGTGCCGAAACCGCAGGGAATTTACATGGTCAAAAAGACCATGTGATTTCCCTGCGGGTCACAATTTATAAGGTGCATGCACTTTCTTTCCTGGAAACACAGGCATGCTGGCCCATTCAAATGAATGGGCTGCTGCCTGAATGAACATGGTCTGCAAAAAAACACATAGGTGTGAACCCAGTGTAAACCTAGATGATGATTAGATACTATGCACAGCTGCACCAGTTTTAGTAAATCTCCCCCTATGTGTCTTCTTATAAATTTTACATTAATCTGCTTCAGCAAATAACATAGAAACACACTTACTTTTTAACCGTTCATCATCTTTCACAAAGAAAAAACGAAGGATGCTTATATCTGGTCTTGTACTGTAGGAGTAAAAGGAAAAAGAAAAGCAATATGTGGATGCAGAATAAAACAACATGTATGCAATGCAAAAAGTGTCTCATATTCACAAAAGGAAGAAACTGTCTACATTTGTAGTTTGAGGAATGACTGTCTCCTTAAATGGATTCTGTAATGAGAGATTATGGAGGTTGCCATTGCTGAATTCTTATTCAGAATGTTATATCCTTTGCTGATGCATTGGCTTTAATAATTTCTGAGTGATTGTTTTGAAGCAGGTATAGAGAAAAGGAACGGAAACTTTCTGGCACTCATTTTCAAAAGGTTCTGGGTCTCTGACTTAACGTACATCAGACAAAGCCAGGTGACTAGCGTTAAAAAAAAGAGAAAAAAAAGGTAGACCAGCAATTGCCCATTCCATACTTCTCTCATGACAGAGTCACTTTATAGGATACCTTCGTCACAAAACAAAAATATAATATAGTGTAGTTTACCAGTTCTTCGCTGTGGTAATTGCAATTGCATTCTTTTTGTAAGCGAAATACATTTTTATTATTATTATTATTATTATTATACAGGAGTTATGTAGCGCCAACAGTTTGCTCAGCATTTTCCGCAAGTACAGAAAAAAATTGTTCATCTTGGAAGAATTCCAATGGCTTGTATTCCAATTGTAGGTTCTGTGCACAGGACTGATAGTAAAAAAAAATCTTGTCAGTTTTCCCAGCTGTTATCTGTGAACTACAAAATAATCAATTTTTTGGTAATGGTGATGAGGAAAAGAAAAGGAGTTAGTAGCCTAAACAGCATGGTGACAACTGTGGTGCCTTTTATAGATGCAGTGGATTGACTGAGTAGCTGCCCTAGGACAGAAGTGTTTTATTCACTAGATAACCAGGTAAAAATAACACCATCTAAGGATGGGTAAGCTCCAATATATTATAGTCTGGAAACACAAATTTGGCATGTTCAGAACTAGAACTACAAAACATACCCATAAAGATTGTGAAAGGAATATGATGAATTTTGACTTGCCTATAAAGTACGTATTTTGGAGTACAATACAGGACACAGGCAACTTATTCATGCACAAAAGGTTTACTTTCAAGTGATTTTGAAGGCAAGCCTTCCCTACACCATGAGTCTCCAATTTTGTAGCAAGCAATGCAGAGTAACAATGAGGCTTTAGGGAGGATGACCTGTGTCCTATACTGCACTCAAATATATGGAATTTACAGGTAAGTCAAAATTTCTCTTAAACGTACATTACAGAATACAGGCAACTTATTAATAGACCACAGTATGTTCCCAAGTAATAAATATAGGGTGGGCAACAACTAGGAAAACAGAATTGTTACAATACACCCAAAAACAACAGGGATCAAAAGACCCAAGTTCAGAGTGCCACTGCAAG